CAAACCACATGACACACAATAGCCTTCTAGTCAGATAAATGCTATGCCTGACCCTGTCTATCACTGGTCAGAAATGATATAAAATACCATCAATAAAGTGCAGCRTTTTTTCATTAGGGTATGTCTATGATTCAGCACAGGCTTTGGTCTTCTTAAAGCCTGCTTATGATGACTTCTGCTACATTTGTGGAGTAAATGCTAGTCGCCTGTGCCAGTTTCACTCTTCACATTCTTACCACCTGAGTATAGATAAACAGCATATATTTAATAATAATAAAAAAAAGCCCTACAGCTATTAATGACTAGGAAAAAACCTACAGCTATTAATGACCAGGATATCCTTAAAGTGTTCTCCTTTTCCTTCTTATTTAGCAGTTGTATCTCTTTCCTATCCTTTATAAGTAAAACACACTCATTTCTCCCTTTGGTCATTGCACAGCCTCTAAATTAAAGAACATCAGTAAATTTTACTCTGATGGGTTTATTTTTTCAGTTATCTATTTACTGATTASCTTTTTAATATTCATAGCATTTATTAGATTTAACGTGAATATATGTTTTGTATACTACCATATAAAAAATGTTATCTACTGAATACATGAATTTGAACAAGTTGCATCATTTAAGGCACTAATATATTAAGCAACAGCTCTTGCTAAAGACTTTGGTGTTTTCGCACACCTAAAGAACAAGGCAGTGATACGATGCAATTTGATACACTTCAGGTGCCAGGTACGAACACTGACAATGAGAGTAGGGGACACTGGCAAGTATGTAAAATCTCAGATACCTCATCTAACTATCCTAGCAGAGCATGCAAAAGCAGTAAGACTCTCAGTACAAGCAATAGACTTGTATAGTCTACAGTAGTACAAAGTTTAAAGTGGATGAGTACATTGCAGTGGAAAACTGTGCCAGGTCCTCTGCTATCCAAACGAGCTGGAAACGTAGCTGATTAGATAGCTATATCTAAGATATTTTCAGCTTCTACTTAATTATTTTTGCTGTCTGAGCTAGTGGTACAGACCAAGTTATTTTATCTTTTCCTCTGCATTCTGCCTAGCAATCTCACCACCCTGGTATAAAATCAGCAACCAAGTAGAAAACCCTCACTTTCCCTCTTATCGCCAGTGGCTTCATCAGACACTATCAAGTCCCATTTTGTGGGACCTCAACATCAGTATTGATTTCTTCTCCTCTTCCTTCAGTTGTAGCATCCCATACTTTGTCAATATCTCACTGAAAAACATTGAAGGCTAAAAGCTTCCACTGCTCAGTTTTTTGCTTTGTGTAAGTTCACATCAATACAGGAAAAGGTTGCAAATTTCTCAGTTCTTAACCACTTATGGCATCATCACCTCCTGACTTCTACTGCTTGGAAGAGTCACTGAAGATTAACTGACTTTTCATAAAAACAGGTGACACTAAAAAGCTCTAGAAGACCAAAATCAATGTCAGAAGTTATAAAATATTCCATTTATAACAGCAGTAGGACTACACATTACAGAGACCTTATGCTTTAATGTTCCTATTGTTAGCCTTGGAAAAACAACATCTTACTGTATGGTATATCCAACACTGATGAATATGCAGACAAATTTTACACTTTTAAAGATGTAGGAACCATCCCCATCCTGTTTAAGAATTATTAAATATGCCAATACTTTATCATAGAAGAGGCGTCTTACTGTAGAAACAGGAAGACTGGAAAAAAAAATGAGACAACGGAAAATAAGCTTAACTTTGGCTTGCTGAGCCTCACAGTTAATATCAATTCATTTCTTATAGTATCTTAGAATGTTACAACTCCTTTCTGTTTTAAAAAAAGATGAAACCCAAGATCCGTAGGAATAACACAACTTAAAAAGCATATATTTGAGGACTTGGTAACACTAGAATGATTGATTTTCCTWTTTTATTTCCAACCAGTGGCATACTTTATAGTAGCTTCAGCCTGAAAAACATGGAATCAAGCAAATTCATACATTGATGCCTGGTAATTTCTGAGCATAAGCATCCATCTGCAGTATTAATTAGCAGTAGCATTAACTGAAGGCAAAAGGGAAAACAATCACCAAGGGAATTTAGTGCTAAGGCAACTGAGATGCAGGGCACAGCAGAAAGTCAGGGAAAATAGGACAGTAAAACCTGGCCAGTATTGTGGACAATCCTGATCCCAAAGAGCTTTGAAGACCATTTAAAAACTTCTTCTYATCTGCATGGTTCACCCTCCTGTATTCCACAATTCAGTGACACCATTTCTTTTTTTTCCCCTGCAAGGTGAGATGCATTATTTTCTTCAGTAAGAGTCATTCCCTAATCACTAAACAAGTCCATATGTCTTTCTGGAAATTTTAAGAAAATWAAGAAAATTAAGAGGCTCCTTTTTTTTCCTTTTGAAGAGAAGTTTCATTCCGATATAAATTACAGAGCACTACTTTCAGTACTGAAAAATAAGCAAGAAAATTCAACTCTTGAAAATGTAATTTTTAAATACATGGATCATTATTCAGCTGAATGTAACTGAATCAAAAATACAGGAACTGGTTGGACACTTCTCTCTAAAATCTCACAATTCCTTTCCTTCTTTACTTCTCTGCCTCTCTCTCGACTCCCAATTCCTTAATTTTTCTCATTTGTATTTAAATAAATGTTCAATATGTTCTAATTCTCTCCTACTCATAAGTCTTAGCTGTCAAACATCTTCCAGGATAAAAAATCTTAAAAGTAATGATACAATCAAAATGATGGTATTCTGCACACAAATATCACACTCTCAGATTAAACTTTGGAGGGACTACTGAAAGCTGTAACTTAAAGTGACAACTCAAACTTCACTGGTAGCTAAGCCAGAAAAAAAAAAATCTGGCAGAGGAAAGTTGGATTGCTTAAAAATGTTTTTGCAAAATGTAAGTTTTAATTTTAAAGTGTATTAGTTTCCGGATGTGACTGTAGGTGTAAACTGATTTGAGTCTTGTCTTTCTGAAAGCTACAGTTCTGATGCCAACACTGCTACTTACAGCTCTCCCAACAGATAATAAATACAGTTTTGTCATTTTCCACAGATAACTGGCAAAATAGTAAGACCAGCCACTGTTAATTGATGAGGTTCTTGAACAGCTGCACCTCAGAAAACTGTGTGCACAGCCTACACAGGGTCTGCATTAATCTGTGCAACATTAGCCTTCTATACTCAGTGACATTAAGTGAGTATAGAAATGGAGTCATACGGAGAAATAGAAATCTGTCTATACCTGTCAATACCAGGTACCTATACCTGTCAATATCCAAAAATGCTTAGGAGAAACATAGAGTGGAACCTATCTCATCACTGGTCAAGAAAGAAGTAGTTGCCACCTCTGGTTTTAACAAACCATCTATTCTCTTATACTATTTTTAAGTAAACCAAAAGTCTATGTAGAGGTTGATGAGGAACCTATGTAGAGGCTGATGAGGTTTTGGGTACTACAGCTAGTGGTGTTACATCGGAACCGGTCTAAACTATAAATTAAAGTAGGTAATGAAACTGAATCAAGGGACACCAAAAGCAGTTAGAAAACCCTACAAGGTAGAAAGCAAACCCATATCTTTRGACAATACAGGATAACAGACAACGACTGTATATTAAAGCTAGCACTCACTGCAAAGAGAAAGAAGGTGAAAGTGTAAAAACTGCATGAACTTGAACATACACTTCCTTTACAAAACTACTTCTCAGTAAGCTTGCTAGCCACAGAACTAGGCAAATAATCATTTTGGCACAGCTTCATGGAGACAAACTCATGAAAAATTAACATCTGTAAACTAGGTACAATCATGTGCTCATGTGCATCTCAACTCAACCCACCATAATGTTATCAGCACGCATATGTTGGAAGAAAAATGGGCATATCAGAAAATTCATGCTCTTAAAATGGATTTTTTGTACATTYTAATGCAGATGAAAAAAAAAAGATGTTTAATTTTAGCTGGGCTGTCGAGGGCTCATGAACACAGGCTTTCATACAGGCCTAGTATAGGTAGGTATTCAAAGAAAAAGAAAAGCAACAAGAGAAACTCAATAGGAGTGTTGCACATGGACAAGCTCAGCATTTATTACGATGAATTTCTAGTATTTCTAGTGAGATTATGAATTTTTATCCCTTATTAGCCTTCAGTTTACAAGTATCATGGAAAAAAATGGCTTTTTTTGATGWTTCTCTGTGCGTATGTGGGGTTTTTTGTTTGTTTCAGATGCTTCTTATAAGGGCACACAAAAATCAGACAGAAAATAAGCAAAGAGACTATTCTAGCACGGATCTATTGACTGTTATGGATTTATTCAAGTATTCACAAAAATAAATAAATAAATACACATCTCAATAGTCACACAACTAATAGTTTGGATGGAGGACTGTTCTTTAAAGCCAATACACTTAAGAACACTTCACTTTAGCAAATTAAGTGTACATGTGCTTTAACAATTTCCTGAAATATTCAGCAGGAATACTACATTGGCTAATAAATAGTCCTACTCACTGAAATTTCTGTAGATTGGGCCTTTGACAGTTCTTAGTGTTGCCAAAAGAGATATATCTGTAACCAGCTCTGTATTTTGTCTACCTGAGGTCCACACTTGGGAATTCCTATAGATTCAACAGTTGGTACTGGGGATCTAACATATTAGTATGAAATATTATTTTTAGTGAAACTTCAAAAAAAAAAATCCAGTGCAAACTTCTCCACATCTGAAGACTCATCTTCTTTCACCTCAACAGAGGAGGGAGGGGAGTTGCCATGCACATTTCACCTTACAAAAAATAAGTCCTGCAAAATATTGGCCTCAAAATATCTCCGAGTTATTCTTCTTTCAGCAGGAATTGAGAAGAGTGTACGGACTTTGAGAAGAAAAGATGCAATGCAAAACACATCAAAAATTGTGGGAATTAAGTGTCAAGAGGATGGAGAAAAAGAACCTGCTGCCAGAGTGGATAATTAAAAAACAAACAAAAAGAACCTACCAATCCAATTATCCATCAGAGACTGTGCAGTTACTGAGGCTTCTACATGATTTGCAGCCTTGCTGATCAAGGGCCGTCACAGGACACCTAAGCAATAAGAATTTCACATTTCAAACTTGGAACACTTATCAGCAATTTGCAGTTTTCAAGAAGCCTAGGGAGACCTTTTCCACCTTAGTCATTTGTCCACTTGGAGAAAACAACAGTGAGATTTTTGTTTGTTTCTTCCTTTAAATAAAGCACTTAGTGAACCGCCTTGTYAACCTATTTCCATATGCAGCAAGGAAAAGAATGACTTTGTTAAAATATTCCTCCTGCCCTTTGAACATGCAATCTAATGATGGAGCATAATAAGTAATAAGATGAGCAAGGAAGCCCACATTTCACAGATTTTTTTACATTAGTCTGCATATTTCACTGCTAGGTGAGAGGAGGAAAAAAAAAAATAGTCCCCTAGTCTACCTTTGCAGTAGAAAGCTAAAGAACATGTATCAATTCACTAAGCTGTCTTTTTGTGTGAAGTAACAAGCTAGCATTTTTTCCCTCTTTCTTTTTTCTTCCTTTAAGTTGAAGGCGTAGCGACTTACAGAAACTGCAGGGAAACTAGGCAGCCTTTCAATTCATTTATCCAATTTCCTGCTGCTCCTATTTCTGAGCAAGTAAMATAATAAATGTTGTAGAGAAAATTAATCTGTATTCAGAAGATTTCATTAAATAAGAAGTGCCAACCTGTTGGCAACTGCCAACTCTGGTTTTAACACAGCACTTTGTTTAGCCCGGCACTTTCTCTCCCTTCTGTCACCGAAATGGCATAAGGAAAGCGAACCGTTTTTAGATGACAATTGATTTATTGGCATTTCCATCCCAGCACCTATGCATTCCAGAATATAGGAGGGAAAGTCAGAACTGGGAACACGTTTCATGCGGTAATTTCAAAAGTGCTATATAAAAATAATGAAAGACGCTGAAGTAGGCAGTAGCAATCCCCTTCTTGCAGGAGGAAGGAAGGAAGATGCCCAGGTGAAAACACACGTGAAAATCGCATGTCCGAGGCTCCGCAAGGCGGGGGGACCACTTGCTTCCCTCGGACAAACCCGGTCTCAGGGGGAGCGCCGGGCGCCCCTCCGAAAGGCAGTTACATAAGGCGCTGCCAAACTTGGTGTCACCGCCGCGGCGGCAGCAAGTTGCTCTCCCCCGGGCACACGCCGAGCCCGCGCTAACGATCCCAACGGCGCGGGGATGGAGCAGCCCGGCAGTGCCCAGCAGAACAGCCCGCGCGGGGTCCCGGGCTCCCTGCTAAGCGGCAGCTTCGCCCTGACCGGGCGGACCTGCCCCCTCGCAGCCAGCGACCGTTAGGAGCGACCGTTAGGCGCGACCGTTAGGCGCACCCCGCGGCCGGGGGCTCCCGCCGGGCGGGCGGCCACGCTCCCCTCGCGCCAGCTGGGGGTGGGCGCAAGGAAAAAGCCTCTTTGTGCCGGCGGCGCCACATCCGCGCCCGAGCATCCGCTCCGCACCCCGCGGGGGAACTAACCCCGGGGGGCAAAGCGGCAACCCCCGCCCCCGCGCGCGCGGCGCCCCCGCCCGCCGCGAGGCACTCGCCGCGTGTCCCCGGCGCCCCCAAGCCCCTTACCTTGGTGGCGGGGCGGCCGGGCGCCTCCCGGGCCGCCGAGGCGAGCGCGCGGGCAGCGGCGGGGCGCCCCGCTGCGCGCCCGCCTCGCTCCTTCCCGCTGCTCGGCTCCGGGCGAGCGGCTCCAGCTCCGTGCCCGCGGCCCCGCGCTCCGGAGGCGGCTCCACTCTCCGCGGGATGAGCGGCTTCCCGCGGCGGGAGCAGGAGGAGGGAGAGCGGCGGCGAGGTCCCCGCTCTTCCCGGGATGCGCCGCCGAGGTGGCTCCGAGCTGCGGGCTGCCGCCGCCGCCGCCTCTTCCCGCCCGCCCCTCTCGCTCCTCAGGGCCTGCCCGCTCCGCGCTCTCGTAGGGGGCAGCCCGGCGGTCCCGCCGCTCCGTCCCCGTGCCGCTCGTCTCCCCGCCCCTCTCCGCCGCGCCGCGCACAGGCCCCGCCAGCGGCCGGGAGGAGCCGGGGGCGAGGGGGGGGTTCCGGCCCGGCCTCCTGCCCCCTCCGCCGGGCCTGGCACACGCGCTCCGCGGGGAGAGGAGGCCCTGCCCCGGCCTGGCAGGCGGCGAGCGGCGCCGCGAAGGTCAGCGGCACCGCGCAGCCGGGCACGGCGAGACGGCCCCCGGCACCGCCGCTACTGCCGCCGGCCCGGCCTCAGCGGCCGCTGGGTGCCGCGCTCCGCCCGGCTCGCTCCGTGCCGGCGGCCGCCTCCGGCTCTCAGTGCCAGGCTGCCCCCTTCCCCCGCCAGCTGCCGGTGCCAGGCTGCCCCCTGCGGGTGCCGGAGCTGCGGAGGAGGCGGCCACGGGGCGCGAGCGCGGCTGCCGCTGCCCGGGCGCCGCCGCTCTGCCCGGCGCTCAGCGGCAGCTGCGGCGCCTCTGAGCCGCTGTCATGTCCGTGCACGGGCGGGCGGCGAGGCGGGGCCAGCCCACAGACACGCCGCCCAGCGGCAGGCGCCGCGCGCCCAACCAGCGCCGCCCGCCCGCCTCCCCCCCGGCGCCGCCCCCCCCCCCCCCCCCCGGGGCCTGCCCGCAACACCTGCGCCCGGCCCGGCCCGCGCCCCGCGCCGGGGCTCCGCTCCCCGCGCGTCCCCCTCGCGGGGAAGGCGGCGGCGAGACCGGCCCTGGGCGGGTCCGCCGCCTAAAGGCCGCCCCAGCGGCCGCCGCCTAACGGTCACCCCAACGGCCACCCCAACGGCCACCGCCTAACGGCCACCCCAACGGCCACCCCAACGGCCACCGCCTAACGGTCACCCCAACGGCCGCCCGAGCGCGCAGCGGTAAGTGAGGGGAACATGGCGCGGGGTTAATCCCCCCCACCAGTATCCCGCTCGTCATCCGTCAGAGCGAGCAGACGCCCCTCGTGTCGCTGGGGCGCTTGGCCCGCCTCGCTTCGGAGCACGCCGGGCTTCGAGGCCGGCTCCGCTCCGCCTGAACTCGGCCCGGGCCGCTCGCGGGCCCGCTCGTAACCCGCCGAGCTGATGAACGTGCCTTCCCGCTCCTCCCCACCGCGGACACTGAGCCCCCGTCTCCGCGTTTCTTTAATTTATCATCTTTATTTCGCTTCATTAGTGGTGTAAAATGGACTATGGCAATGCATTAGCGTGCTGAAGCAGCTGCATGATAAACTGGATACGAGCAGAGAGGGGTGCCTGAAATTTCATGGGAGAAGCGTGAGCGGAGCAAACTGCAGGAGGGGAGGAAATGGGAACGCAATGCAATTTTAAAAGAAAAATCTTAGAAGGGAAGAGGAGGAAAAGTAACATGCTTTGGGTAGGAAACAATCAGAAGTAGAAATAATACAGATAATATTTAGTACTTACTGCTTTCTCTTTTACAGGACTCTAAAGGAATATTTTAGAGGAGAGTGACATCTCGGAATATGTTGTTCTACAAAAGATACTGCAGATGCTAATTTATTCTGTTCCCTCTACTACTTGAATGCTATGACCTATTCAGAAGTTGTTTTAGCGTGCGCTGAAATTATGTTTGGCAGTGTGCTCTAYCAAAGTATTCTATGCTCTGGTACAGATTATTCGTGGGAGTTTATTAAGGCACTGGCCCATCAGGCCTGGTGTTCTGCCTCCTGCAGCACCCACTGACCCTTTAGAGTCGGGAGAGATAACAGATAAACTGAAGTAAATCATGAAGTGCCAGTGATATCCTGTAAGTGTTGCAAGCTGAAAATTTTGTCATATAATAACAACTAGGAAAGCCTTTTGAGTAAACTTCTGTATAACCATAGAAAGAAAAAACATTCGGACCTGAATGATTCTGAGAACCTRCAGTAACATATAGATTGGTCTCTATTGTAATTATCTTTATGAGCAAATCAAAGTCAGAAATGAGGTATTTCTAAGTAAGTGACTTATTCTGTCCATTGAGTGAAGCTGAAGGATCAGCCATCATGTAATAACGTGTCTTTATCTTTTCTTGYACTGGTGAAGGTTTGTAACTGCTTTGGTGACAGTCGTGATGAAAGAATTGCTAGGGATGTATGGAGGAGGAGGAAACAGGATTATGTATACTGCTCCATTATTAATAAAACCAGGTTGTCTGCTGCCTATCACTAGAATTCTCAGCAGATTCAGTTTTTAGACTCATGTTATTCATGAAGTCTAGCAAATAGTTTTATCCTGCAAGGTTCTGAACAATTTCTGCAGAATCTTTATGTTCTTCTCTTTCTCAGCACCCACAAGGATTTTTAGGTCTTAAGGCATTAGGTTCCTCTGTACCACTGTACATGACAAATGATAGAACCTCATACTGCAGAGCTGCTTTCTTCCCCAACTCTGTGTCCTGCAGGCTAGCGTCCTGCACACACAGTGGAGAGCTGTTGCTCAAGCACAGAGCAGCACTGGTCGGGTGCTCTGCATGAGAATAACCACAGGGCTACAAAATCCACGAGGGATGGAAGGAATGACCATCTGTGGAGTTGGTGTTTTTCCAAAAATTATGCTTAAGTGAGTAATCTTGTCATACCCATCATGAAATTGCTTCACCAGTCTCTGTCCTTGAAGTGGCAGTTGCTATGGCCGTGGAATAAACAAGCAATGAAGGAGGATTCTTGTGCCAAGCATAGGTAAAAAAAAAAAAAAAAAAAAAATTAGCTGCAAATATTTGCACTTCAAATCTCCTTCAACCAAAGGAGACTTTCCACAGAAGCAGCACAGGTTCTGGAGCAAGCAGTCTTTACATTTAAAAAGCAAAAAAGCAAACATAATAATTCCAAGTGTGTAGCTTAAAATCAACAATTTACATAAGATTGAAAACAGTCTCTTAACTTTAACAGCCTTAGTAAAGAACGATGCAAACCAGACCTTTGTTGGATCATTATTCTTGAATAAGAAGGTGTTCATTTCAAGTTACTGTTACATAATAGATTTTAAAAAGTTGTTTTTAGGCATTACCTTTAATATGTATTATATTAAAATTATATTGGTATAAAATTATCACACAAGTGTTTGGCTTCTTTCTTATTGGAACAAGAGATAAAGGCATAGCTGTGACCTCCGAAAGGCTGTAGTGCTTTCACTACGTGATGAATAGCTAATATAGGATTAAAGTCTTTCTAAGATCCAGAACACTTCCATGAACTTCACATACTTAAGAGTTGGAATACTTGCAGGCATTAAACCCATAATATACTCATATTGGAACRAAACTTCTTTCATCAAAAYCCAKCTAATATCTGATTGTTTTGGATCCTGAAAACAGGCTTTAATCCTGTATTAGCTACGTGTAACACCAGTGAAGTTCTGTACACAATCATTTGTTACAACCATAGTCAATCACATTGAGTCTTCTGGAAAAAACAGGCAGTAATGTCTAAGTGACTGAGAAATGCTTTACCACTCTTATAAGGTATTACAGGCTAGCTGCAAACAGCAGCTAAAATACGGAAAGTCAGCAACATCCCTCTGCCCAAACCTCTGTTTCATTGGTATTTAAAATACCTAGCAAGATTGATAATGTGTTACACTCAAGATACTGGACATGCTTGGGCAAAACATTAAGTTTGCGGTGATCTGACTTTGCATGGAGTTGATGATATCATTATTTTTACTTAAAATCGCCTTGTCAGTTACTGAGGGAAGACAAAATCAAATCTTATGGTTAACAGAGCTGGCCAAATTGTGGCAATTAGTCAATTCCACACTCATTTGGGACTATTTATAAATTGCTATTATTCTAAATGCTAACTCACACAACTGTTAACGATATTGGAACATTATCAGTAAGACCAAAACTCTGAAGAAAAGTACTAACCATTGAGATTCTCATTATCAGTCTGGCCCTGCAGCTGGAGCTACTGCAGGACAGGATGCCTGTCATCTCCTATAGGAAAAAAAGTCTTTCAGGCAAGAAATAGATGAAATTTATTCTACTCTTGAAAACAAGTTCCCAGTTCTTGGACATCAGGTAGCAGCTTTGTTTCATAAGCTCCCTTCAGTGGGCATTAAATTTAAATTTAATGGATTTACAGGGGAAAAAAAAGAAAAAGGAAACCAGAGAAAAATCCAGAGTTCCTGAGGTTATATGAACTGAAAAAAAATACAGGCTAGTGAAATGAAAGCCTTTAAATAACTAGAAAACACACCATGAGAATAAGAAACATGAAGATTCAGAGAAAATAAAGTTCTTAGAATTAAAATGATGTCTTTTATTGCAGATAAGTGTCAGACAATAATGTTCTGTGATAGCTTCAGCTGTTGTACGTACATGCTTCTCACAAAAATCATCAGTACTTCTGGACACAAAGATAAATATTAATACAGGAGTCTTCAGTAGTACTGTGCCCTATATCTGAAAAAACCTGACAGAAAGGGCCGTATTTCTCTATTTGTTTATTTTGTGCCTGACAGCTTTTTGCAGAAGGTATTTTGCTGTTGCTGACAGTCACTAATTTGCCTTTGTTATGTTATGAGCCAGTTATTTTAACTTAAATTTAGCTTAGATATTTAAATTAATCATTAAATGTTTTAACTTTGAGAAGATATAGTGCTTTTTTAACCATAAAATTACCAAATAAGAGATAGGTATGGTAGATCAAGTGACGTCAATTTTTAAAATTT